TTTTATGATAAAGATTAACTCAAAGATAAACTAGAAACATAATAATATCCCTGAAAGACATGAGATACAAATAAATACTGGCAATTGTTTGTTTACATTCCCTCTGCTTCTATCTTAGCTGGGCTGCATGAGCTGACGTCATTTACTGTTCATTTGATTGGCTTACTGGCTGGATTACGTCACACAGATTAGATTAACTTTAAGTTAATATTTGTAGCGACTAACTTTCTTTTGTTTTGTTCTTTCACATGGGGTTAAACTCAACAAGAGGAAGCTAACGTTAGCCACAGTTAGCTTACCGTTCTCTGTCATCCTGCTCTCGTCTTTAGCGTCGTACTGCTTGATGGTTCGGTACGGCCTTCCGTACTTTTCCTTCGAGTTTGGTGTAGTCCATTATTATTGTTGTTGTGTCGCAAATAAAACTAAATAAAACTTTTGTTTGCGGTCCCGCCCACATCGAGACGGCTTCCTGCTCAGTTTAACAGCGCCCTCTGCTGGATGAAGTCAAAACTACACCGAAATAAGGTTTAAACGTTCAATTAATCAAATGGAAGAAATTTTAATCTAATAAACCATTATTCAACAATTAATCTTAAGTCGATTAATTGTTTGCATCCCTGATTTCTTGTGTTAAATTAATTCTAAAGTTTTTAAAGTGTACATTTCACATCATCCCATCTATACCGAGGTCCAGTTGCGGCTGCTGAGTGAGTCTTGGATTTCCTGCAGGTGGAGATGTGCCACCTGCAGAAGTGCTACCGGGCTCTGGCGGAACAGATGAACCTGATCCTGTCCAAGCGCCTGTGGTACATCATGATCGAGCAGTTCCTCATGAAGTACGTGTGGAGCGGCAGCGGGCTCGTCATGGTGGCCGTGCCCATCATCACGGCCACCGGATTCGCTGACAACGGTGGGGAACTGTTGGTTTGTTTTCGCGGCGACRGGTTTGTTGCTGGGATTATTCACGGTCTCCTCCTGTCTGTCTGCAGAAACGGGAACTGGACAGGCTCAGATGATGGTGAGCGAGAGGACGGAGGCGTTCACCACCGCCAGGAACCTCTTGGCCTCAGGAGCCGACGCCATCGAGAGGATCATGTCCTCCTACAAAGAGGTCCGAAAGCTGCGTTCTTTATTTTAACTTACTCCTTATTACAAAGTTTAATGCACATGTCAAACTTAAGGCCTGCAGGCCAAATGTGGCCCYGGACAGCATTCTACGTGGCCCACAAGAGCTTCAACGAGTGTCTTAAAGTGCCTGTGACATGCCWGTCCTTCAAATACAAAAACTCAAAGAAAACATCTTTATACTTAATAAAATTGGCATTGTACACGTGATTTTATCCATTTTGTCACATAACTGGTCTATTTTCTTTTAAATTTGGCTCWGACAAAGTGAAACAGGAAGTGACATCAAAGGGGAACTCATTAATAAAATAAACTCGCCAGTCTCTGTTTATTAAAACAAAATAATTTAAACTTTAACTCTTCTCCGTCTCTATTTGATAGCGACTATAAAAAATGGAAAGAAACGTCAGATTCTTCTCTACAGTCTGTGTTGTTAGCTTTTGCAACAATACTCTGTTTACATGTCGACATTCCCCTTTGACATCACTTCCTGTTTCTTCACATGCCAATATCTCAACAGCCGTTCATCTCAGCGACGTGAAATTTGGTTTGCAACATGCTATCGACCTTATCTTTCCAAAAATGCGTTTATGTTTATTACAAAAATTTGACGTCACAGGCACTTTAAAATTAGCTGCTTCTGATCATAAACTACATTTCCCATAACACACGTTGATTATTTTACCCGCAAAATGACGGCATCCCACCACTAGCTGGAGCTGCACAGAGTTCAAAAGCAGCCGGAGAAATTTGCATATAAAATCTTCATTTCACTGCTTTTTCGCTGGCTGCTTTCGCTGTGGCCCAGTTGTAATGGGAAGTGGGAATTTACCACTTACAAGTTGTAAATTTATACTGGAACGCCCCTTAAGTGGGAATTCCCTGTTGGAAAGTGGGAGAGTTCAGAATTCAAAACGGCAGCTACTTAAAAC